TTTGGCGGCGGGCGATGCGGGCGATTTTTTGTGGCGGTGGTATTTGCGTTTTTTTGCGGTGTTTGCGTTTTGCGGCGGACGGGCGTTTTTGCGGTTTTTTGCGTTTTTTCTGCGGTTTTGTGCCTGCGGGCGATTGTTTTTTGTTTTTTTTGCGGCTTTTGCGTTGGCGTTTTGAGCGTGCGTTTTGCGAGTTTTGCGGTTTTGCGTTTTGCGGCGGGCGGGCGGTTTTTCACAATTTCAGTCCCAACCTTCGGATCCGCAGTGCTGTTCGACAAGCGCTGCCCGGGCCTAGAGTGCAGTGCATGTCAGTTCGTAGCACACCCATTCCGGTCTGCACGTGCAAGGCTCATCCTCTCGTTTGGCGGCGGGCTTTTTTGCGGCGTTACAGAGGTGCTTGCTCAAACAACCTGCGGTCCCGCGATGTACGCAGAATTATACATTAAATCGAATATACAGAAATATAAAATTATTAATCTATCGCTCAATGACGTTTGTTTTGTAGGTATATCATCAATGTAGCACTGTGATGCAGATGCGTACCCGAAATTCTTCTAAATACGAGTTATTCTCCCTTTTGATTGTGCATTTTTTAAAGAAACACACGACATGATTATTTCCTGATTTATAGACTTGAAAGATTTATTTTATGTTTTTCTTTTGGGATACCTACTAGAATTAACTTAAATGCCTTCTGAGTTAGCATTTGGTTAGCAACAGAAATTAAGCATTTGGACAGTACAAGCTGCATAGGTGTGTGTTCATATGCTTGCGTACTCCACCCGCCTGGCGTGCGTACTCTTACACACCCCATATGGTAAGAGTACGCAACTGCAGCGGTTCAGAAAATGTCAGTTTTAGACCACTTCCATTTACGCTGAAGGATCGTTACCCCATGGGTTGATGGCTAATTCAATGAACTTTAATATTCCCTATTTGTGATTTCTTTCCTTCAAATATTAAACAAATGAGAGCAAGAAGTCCACTAAGTGCGTACTCTTATACGACTTCACCCTATTAATGCTGCGTACCTTGCTTTGATGCAAGCATGTTACGAGTGAAGTAGGTGTCTGTCTGATTACGTAACTTCGCTCGTAATATTCTGAAATGAGAATGGAAGAAAGTAAAGCTATAGACAGAGGAGTCATCCGCTATATTTTGCAACGTAATTAAGATTGAAGTTGTTGAGAGTTGTGTGAAATATTGTACGCAACAAGCCCAAGATTGAAAAACTTTCAGACGGCACGCACTAAGGTTGGCAGAAACAATCCACGGATGTCACACTAGCACCTCCTATGCTTCTACAATTGCAACGATTGTTCTCATCACGTAATAGTGCGCAGTGCGCAATGCGTAATGAGAAGCATAAATAACAAGAGATCGAGAAGCAGGCAAGGAACTCCATGCAAATATCTACAAATATGTATTCAAATAAAGGAGGTCTGCAGAAACGCCGTCATTTGCCCGGCCCGGCTGTCGTGACACATCGGCGCCAGCCGGCGGCGCGATCGACGCCATCGGTTCCGCTTGTCGCCGCTACCAGGATGTAGTCTGTCTGTCTGTCTGTCTGTCTGTCTGTCTGTCTGTCTGTCTGTCTGTCTGTCTGTCTGTCGTTGTCTTCTGTCTGTGTGCGCCGTCTGTCGGTGTCTGCTATCCGTATCTGCTGTCTGTTTACCGTCTGGTGTGCTGTCTGCTATCCGTATCTGCTGTCTGTTTACCGTCTGGTGTGCTGTCTGCTATCCGTATCTGCTGTCTGTTTACCGTCTGATGTGCTGTCTGCTATCCGTATCTGCTGTCTGTTTACCGTCTGGTGTGCTGTCTGCTGTCCGGTGTACCGTCCAGACAATGTCCAGACAGACAGCACCGTCGCCCGAAGTGCCCATCGCGGGAGTGGCGGAGGGGAGCTGACAGCAGACAGTGGGAGGGGCTCGACATCCCTTAGAGGGCGTCACGCCGAAGACCGTTCAATCGCTGTGCTGTCCACGCATCTCCCTCCGCACCCCTCATTCTCTTTCCTCTATCGGCCAATCGCCATTGCGTGCATGCGCTGGACCAATCGCAGCTCATCCATCCCCGCTCTGTTGCCGTTACCGGCACCGGCGAGCGCAGGAGCCCGGTCCCGGGCAGGACCGGTTTCAGAGCGAATGGACAACTGACAGCCACAGGGAGACGGCCGAGTTATGAGCCCGCAGGGAATCGACACAAGATGCACGACCTCTCTGACACAAACTCTGACTCGACAGCACACGAGAAAATAAGGTTAGAGTCCTCAACACTATGACATTGAGATATAATGTAAAAATAGAGGACCTTCAGAACGTTTCGAGACCCCAATAGGAGTGGAGCTCAGACAGTGACAAAAGGGTCGGCGAAATGAGGAACCAAAAACAAACAATGTATTTAGATAAAAATATACGATACCACAAAAACATCATCATTAACTTCTCATATTTCACATCCAGAGAGCAATAAAACTGCCATATGGATCCCAACTTATGAAGACAACAATGTGATACTTTAACCCTCGCATGTGTAGGGGGGGGGTCGGATGGACCCCCCCCATGGTTTTTCGCGAATAACTCGCGTAAAAAGCGGCCGATCGCGACGAAACTTTCAGTACCCTCGCATTGATCAATTTTACACCTACCCTGAAAATTTCATGACCCTGACCCAAATGACCTTTGACCTGTGACCTCTTTTCCAAGACCATGTTTGGCCGGAATCGCGATTTCGCGTATGTCGGCTCGCACTAGCCGCGTGTTTGCAAGCTTTTCGTGGTTTCAAACGTTCAAACATGTGTTTTGATGTTACTCCCGTGTGTGTCAAGGTCACCTGAAGGTCAGGTCAGGTCATTGACCTTTGGTGACCTTGGGTGACCTCGGGTCACTTTTTCGAGTTTTACATGTTTCTAGGCTAGTTTTTGGAGCTGAATTCGAATTTAGCAACCATTTGAACATTTACGAAGTAGTTTTGGTGACTTCGTAACATGTTACGAAGCTGTCAGAGGCGGTTGACACGTACTACGAATACCCGTCACGACGCCTACTGGTTGACCTGACCTGACCTGACCCGACCTGGTCTAAATGCTTCAAGACATCATCTGTGATCAAAACTAACACGATATTCGTGATCAGCACCCCGAAAAACCCCTTAGCAGCCACACTTTACGACTTTCTAACAGGTCCCGATTTTCCCGACTTTGGGTCATTGACCTGACCTGGAAGGTCAACCAATGACCTAGGACCTTAAAATTGGGTATCATCGGCTTCCTCTCGTCACGGGCAACACGCTCGTTTTTCCGCGAAGCTCTAGCTCGATCAGGGGCCAAACGGCAAGGGGGGGGTCCAACCGACCCCCCCCCCCCCCTACACATTAGAAGCTGGCAAACGCCGCACACATGCGAGGGTTAAAGATGGCAATAATAACAGGGCGCAGAGGTCAGCGCCGCCCACGTTTGGGGGACGGCCGGACCGCTGTCGTCGGTCCCTGTGAAAGGCGTCTGTTGACGGCCGTTTGCACGCCACACCACTAATCACAACCACTGTCGATGGCCCATGTATGATTTGTGTCTGTAATCAATAGCGCATTATAGAGAGGGCGGGGCGCCGGACACGAGGGGTGGTGTCGTCACACGATACGACCGTGGTCGGCCTGACAGGCTCCGCACGCAGTCGGCCCGGTGCCGCCGGCATAATTCAGTGTTTGCAGCTCTTCAAGTATTTCAAACGGTCTTTTCAATATTAAAATGACTCGTTCATAAGTCTATGGTACAGGCGCGGATACAAGGGGGGCCATGGGGGCCATGGCCCCCCCCCCCTTGGCCGATTTTTTTTCAAAAAGAAAATAAAAAGTTAAAAAGTTAAAAAGCTGAAAAGGGGGCCTCCTGAAAATAAAGTGGCCGAAATCCGATGAGTTTTTTTTTAACCTACCCACTTAGTTATTTCTTAGAAGACTAGCTGAGAAGACTTCTTTGTTAGAAGATTGGTAAAGCTTTTCATAACTTGGAGGTCTCTTATACTCACAGAGATGACCACTTTTACAGGGCCTCCTAACCTGCACAGAGGGCCTCCAAGCCTGCACAGATGTAGAGATGTTGCCTGAACAGCTAGATAAGCTCAATAGACGCAGTTTTTTTTTGGGGGGGGGCCCAACAAGTGGGAAGATGGGGCCTCCAACAGGTGGGATTATGGGGGGGGGGGCCTCCTGGTTTCTAATGGCCCCTCCCTTGGAGATTTTCTGGATCCGCCCCTGCTATGGTAACCTAGGAGCTGAAGGATTCTGATTTTCATTTGCAATTTTTTAATGTCTGCAGCCTGAGTGGTTGAGGCTATCTCCGTTCGAAGCCGTTCTTTTTTCTCTCATTATTTCTGCCACCTTTACGGTGAAGTAAGTCTCCAAAGCACCACAAGTGCATCGGTCGTAGACTGTATTTGCGTCCGCTGGGACTTCTAGAAGTGACCATGAAAAGCCTCCGCGCCCTCTGTAACGGCCAGTTGGAGGTCCAAGTCTGGTCGTTGGGCGCTCCAAGCGGAGCTCGCCGCCAGGACTACACCCTGCGGGATGTTTGCAGTTTGCACCCCACCAAGTACGGCGATTTTAGGGTCGGCAGGAGGACCACCGGCCGGGTTAATGGTGATGATGATTGGATTTTAAAGAGTTCCTCGGCCACCGCGGTCATTCCGGCATCCTCCACAGCGTCATTCGGCGCCTGTTTTTCCGGCTACTCTGACTTGGGGAAAGGATTTTCAATTTACGGCACCGGCGGATACGACTAGCTTTACGAGGCCGTAAGCGAAGGTGGGAACCCGAGCCGACACGCATCCAAGATACTCCGCCTGATAGAGTGTATCACGGGCCTGGAACGAAGCGTGCTCGACCCACATTACACCGTTTATTCAATGTCACTAGATAATAAACGCCAGGGAAAAAAAATGGGGCAATCGCCGCCTCTGAGTGGTGGTTGGCGCTATCAGATCACCGGAAAACATTTATAAACGTCTTACCTTGAATCTGTCATCGGTTGTATAACTGTAGGCTCCCAGTGTGAGAATGTGTAGATCCTGTTTTCTGATCCACGATACCTGTGGACAGATGAACACAGCCCTGTGAAAAATAGTGGATGATTGTAGCGACTGGAATCGACACATCGATGTGTGATGCATGTCAGAGTGACAAGGCTTTCACGTTGTTACTTTGAAGTTCAAGTGGGGATCGAATGGTTCATAGAAGTGTATACTCTACATTCACTGTTATTTGGACGCATCTCATCGTAGAAATCTTCATCCGATAAAAGTAACAGGCGCGTTCAGGGCAGGCTCCAGTCAAGAGCCTGTATTGGTATACTGACCCGCATGGTACTGGAGCACGGCGGCACAGCCTATACATCCAGGCAACCGGCCGGCGTCGGCGGCGAAGCGCTTCAGTCCGCTCAGCGCTTGTGCGGTCGTGTGGGTTGGACTGAGAGCCATTCGCAACAGCTCTCTGCTGTCAGGATAGAGCTCACGTAGCTATTTAAGTGCAACTTGTGATCTCCAGTCACCTAATGGTGAGTACTGGGTCGTGACTCGTGACAGCCCCAGCCGGGCCCGAAAGGGAAAGGTTGCAGCCAAAAAGCCGGCCAGCCCGAGGATTCGTTTATGTAGGTACGAGGGCTGGGCGAAATGTTGAAAATTAGACTGAAGAAGTAAAGGATCATGCGTCTCAATGGTGCCATGGCCTCGAGGGTTTCTTTGTGTTTATCAGATCCGGCGGACCAGTACTTAGTGATACGAAATCAGCTGAAGCAACGTCACGAGTGAAAAGTCGAGCACAAAAGGTCAAAGTTGACAAAATGAGTATTCCCCTCAATACTGGAGTGTCACATTATCCGCTAGGTTTTTGATGTGTTGATATCGGCACCCACGCGTACTATTGACTTTACATCCGAGCTCAACTTCGTTCGCGGTGACTTTTAGGCTTGAGCTTCATGGTCCAACTTTACGACTAGTTTGGTTATTACTTACTAGACATGCACGCTGCCATGAAATGGAAGTTTTCGGGCCGAGTTTGGTTTTATGGTGGTAGCATCCACCAGGTGATCAGGCCTCTCATAGTCCGAAACGCTCGTAGCTTTGCTATTGGTGCTGTTAATGCATTAAAAGGAAGCATTTGAATCTGACAAAGGCATGACACCCATGCAATCTAGCTACTACAGGGTCGCTTGTGAAAGTTATGTTACGAGTGGCATTTCTTTGAAAAGTGTGTGTATTAACTGACATATGAATTCCAGTCTGTCGGGCTAAATGGCGCCGCTGTAACACGGCGCGCCGTAAGGACCCCCGCGCCAGTTTCGTCCCTCCAGCGCCGGTATAGTGATCGATCTGAGGCAGCGCGCTCGGTCTCGGCTCCTGACGGACTCGGTGGTCGGATCAGCAGCCCCTCTCCCCACGGCCGCGCTGCGGGATCAGCACCAGGCTGGGACAGTTCCAACTTCAGCCCGGAACAGACCCCGCACCAGCCCGGAGCGAGCCCACGCCCTCCGTGAGCCGGCACCCCGTATACCATCCGGAACGGCCCCGCACCACCGCATCTCGCCTACTATAATCGGCCGCGCAGATTGTAATCTGCTCACTTCAGCCGACGGCTAACTGGACTCGGCTCCGTATATATGTAATATTAGAGGCTGAATTAGCTGTCCGACGTCTGTATAGCCGGCCCGCGAAAGATCGCCCAAGAGGCGCCAAATGTGGACGATAGATTATCTCCAGATTCGCAGAGTAATTTCGCGGATGTCCAGTTTTTAAATTAGAGCCGGCCTGGATTTCATGCTAAATCACTGCTTCCTCGCGGCATCGCGCGTGGCACCTCGTACTCGATCCGGGGATTTAGCTGCAAAACGCCTTACAGTCATGACGGTAGGTAATTATGCTTGGGAATGTCTAGGCTGGTGAATGTGAAGACGATATACCGTGGTTATCTAAGATGCCAAACAGGAAAAGCTGAAAAAAACTCCTAAAATGCGTACCATAGTTCACAATTCTCGTATTGAGCTTACATTAGCATTGCTTAAGACGCCTCAGTATTGAGACGCCTCAGTATCAAGCGTTCAGTATTATAGGATCAGCGGGCCTGCTCCTATCAGCAAAGTGGCTGCGAATTGTGATACATGTCTTTCTGCCAAACAAGTAGCAGTGAAAATGTATTTCCATTCGGGCAAATACAATGCCCAATGCAATGTCATGCAATGCACCGAAAGGCCACTGTGTTTTCACTTTATATCGCTCGGTTCGGTATTCCGCTATTGTTATCCCTCCTTTGGCGCAGAATGTCGCCTGACGCACAGCGGTGGCCCGACTATCGACCTGATGGGCGCACATTAACTGGGCCCAATATTCAGGCGTCGAGGAGAGGCGGCGCCGCGGCACAGCTAAACGAGCCAAGTCGTCACATAAAGACACGCCGTCGACACGGCCGACACACGGTGACGGTTGCTGACGGAGCGAGCCGCGCGCCAGGCTGACGGCCGACCGGCCGAGCGGGCCGCGAGCACCGACAATCCAATAATAGGGACACTGCTGGACCGCCTTTTGTGCACACTGGGTCAGAAGAGATCGCAGAGTAAGGGGTTGACGCTGCGCCTGCATATGGTGTGGTGCTGATGAGCATTGGCTGTGTCATTGTAATGAGACCAGATTTAGGCAAAAAATATTGCTTACATAAAAAGTTACCGGTCGTTAGGAAGCCTACGATATGGTGCGAGGGCTACTGACCTATACTGATGCTATAAAAATTATCTTGAGATTTTATTTACTGAAAAATACGGTAACCGGGTACCACTGCTTGACACGGCCGCGCTGCCATGTGCCGGCCAGACCTCGTCGTCGCCGCCCCCGCCGCCATCGTGCGAAGGGTAATGTCCCGTAGAAGTGGAGAGCGCGCGGCAGCACCGCTGACAGCGGCGAGCGAAACCGTAACGAGAGCACAGGACGAGTTATTTCCCCCCACTGAATGGGACCGAGCTCCGCCACGCATGGACAAAGCACTCGGCGAGAGAGCGGTCCACCTCCGCGGCCATGACTGACGCGTGTCAAGATTTCGCTATTAACCGGTGAAGGACGCCATTCGAGCAGTTAACAACGACAGGCGGAAGTCCAGATGGCCCCAATGTGGGACGAAATGACTCGAGACGGGAGCACTGCGCAGCCGATGAGACGGAGCTGTGCGGAAACTCGCTGATGCAAGACGGGGAATGCTTTAAATGTTTTCATTTATGAAAAACGGTTAAAATACAGGTGACGAACTCTGAACTGTGCATCATTCATTATTTAAGAATTATGCTAAATATATTTGACGATCGGATACCTACCTTGTCATGATTTGAGAAAGTTCACTCAACTTGTCCGTAAAACTGCACCCTTCTCGAAGCTGAATAGTGTGCCATGAAACACCATTCTTCGCCAAAAGAAAGCTCAGCAGCTCCTTCCCCATTTCGGCCAGTCGGCTCTTAGATTGTTGGCTTTGTCTATTGATGCTGTCCAGGCTAATGGGAAGGCATAGCTCAAACATATCCATGTTTTCAACGGGAACATCAACCCTGCATTTCTGATGACTAACAATATCGCCCATACATCACAGGCGATTTCAGAACGCACGGAACTCCCATTGACCTATGTAAAAAGTTGTAATCTACAACATAAATTTTCCTGTGCCGCCCGCTAAACGTGTTGTCAGGCACAAATAGCAGAAAGTAGTGACCCTAATCGCTACCAATAAACGAAACGATCTGCCGTCTTTTGAAACACTCCACCGTGATTTGTGAGCTGACCAAAAACAATACGGACAGTTCAGCACCGTATAAGTCGGTCCACTGAAAGGAGGACCATTAGTGCGCGTCGGTTCTGCTGCGCGGAGGTGTTTTGCCGACTGCGGTCTGGAGTCGCGTGTCGGACAAGTTTTTCATACGGACCGATCGCGTGATGCCGTGCCCGGCGTTACAGTGCGTGCCATCAATGAGGCCGCCGGCTGCCTCAGACATTAATCGCAGCATCAATTCGTGAGGTGGCCGCGCGAGTAATCTCACGTCTTCTCAATCACTGGTCGACAATAGGCTGAAATACCAATTTACCGGAAAGCAATTTCGGCTGTCGACCGATGTTCATACAGCGAGAGGAGCAGCCTGTGTAGTCTGTTTGGCATGAACGACTGGCTCAATGATGCCAAGGGGCAAATATAAAAAGTGATGGATAATGGCATTAAAATAAACTCCGTTAATGATTACGTGAATCGTGAAATGTGTGTGAAACAGCCAAGGAAAAGTGAAAACGCAAGGACGTACTTACATATGTTCATGTCGATTTGTCTGCATTTATCATTAAATGAATTTGTTAGTGAATAAAATTATTCAAAAGAAACAAGTCTTCCTTTTCATCTTGCTCTGTACTGCCATGCGTTTCTCGTTAGATAGCTTCTTCTGGTGAAAATATGGTAAATACGATACGCTAATTGCATGACGACGCTATTGACGTAGGACGAATCTGCATCCAGGTCATGTGCTAGCTTCGTGAGTTGTGACTGCAAATAAAGCCATAAATCGGAGAAAGGACAAATATTTACAGAGTAGGAACCACTCCATCAATTTCTTTTCCAGGCACTGCTATTATTCCGCATGCATTCGACACACTTTGTAAATTCCATCAGCCACCAACCGGAAAACTTGGACTGAGAAAAAGAAAGCCAACCCACACACGCAGACAAGCCATTAAAGAAATTAAAAACGGTCGATCGTTCCCCAGAACATTTCCAGTTATTTTGGGCGTGAGACAGAAGCAGATGTGTTGCTAGAAGAGCTTCATAGAGGTATCAGCACTGTAGTTAAAACACAATGCATTATGTCATTGTGATGTATGTACGCAACGTGGGCACCGGCTCTGCCAATCCGTCCATTCAAACGTTCGAGCTAAATCTATAGAAAAAGCAATAGTTAGAAAATAAATGTGAAATGAATAATCATGATAAAATGGAAATCAAACATATAATTTCATAATAACTAAAGATCTCATCGCAATTATCACATTTAACAAGTAGGTAGAGTTTATAGAGAAAGACATCAGCCTTGTGCTAACTACGCAGGAACTATGTACATAATTTCGATTTTGTATCTTGGGTGCCGGGAGTCCCGGTAGTAAGTATATAGCTGATTTGCATATCCTGCCCAACTGTGAAGGGTCGCTGTCGCAGCGCCGGCTGGCATTCGTTTGCGGTTTGACTAACGACCCAGGCACACCTGGAGACTATGGAAGACCACCGGCCGCTGACAAATGGCACCCGCTCATGAAACCACCGACGCTGCTAGTGCGTTGGTATTCATTGGCGGTGAATAGCTCGGGTGCTGCTTCCGAATGTATCCAATAAAAACACACTATTGGGTTGCATAGAAGGAGAAAAGCTGATCATCATGCAACTTTTGTAGCTGGGCATATGATTTTGGTTTTCAGAATGCTGATGAATGTTTAGATTCTTCATATTGAACGGGTAGCATTAGCACATCAAAGGAAAGCGATGGAGTGCCGCTCCAGGTTTTCCGCCAACAGCAAAAGAACTGCTCCGTAGCCATCACTGACGGACTCTGCCATGTGGTTTAAATGGGGGAATAGAGGGTTACTGCTGAAAATGATGGCCGAACGGTGATTTCTATCCGTACACTGCCATTTGAACTAGGCGTGACGTTAAAATTAGGATCAGGTGGGGTGTGTCACCAGTCCCCGTCTATGCCTGTCTGTATTTCCGTCGGTTTGTCTGTATATTTGTAAAGATGTGTGTCTATCTTCCTGTCCCCTTCTATTTCTCTCTCTCTCTCGCTCTCCCCTCCCCTCCCTCCCCTCTGCCCCGCACTCACCGCCTGGCCGTCGAGCTGGAATATCCTGCAGCGCAGCAGCACCGTCCGGCCGATGGTCGTCGACACGTTGTTGGTCATGGTGCGGTCAAAGTAAGGTCCTCGGCTGGTGTGGTCGTGCCATGGCGTGCTCGGTCCGGCGGCGCAGCCCACTGAAATGCACCGAACGGCTCCAGTAGAATGGGTGACGTACATTGGTGCATTAAACGGACCGAGAATGCCAAACTACGGCGAGCATAAAACGACAGTTTGGGGTTTCGTTACAACTTTTCCCGCTAAGCATCAGGACTTCTCGAGTGGCTTGTTAATCTCGATCATAAAGCCTGCGAATTTGTGCATGCCCGCAATGAAAAAGTCTAATTGGTTTTCGCGGAAATGTTCGATTCTGGTGGCAGCAAATGTTATCGATCACTGCGCCGCCGACCGTCCGTTGACGAGCTGTAAATTCACTGATTCGGCGGTTCGCAGGATTCGTTTTAGTGTTCGGAGGCCAGGTGCTTATAGCTAGTGTCGTTGAAACCGCTCCTACATCCTAGACGGCCTTGTCCCCATCTGTTAGCACATTCATGTGACATTGGTTCTGGCAAGTGGAGGCGTCCGTGCATGGCCCGCGCCATGGTAATGGGCCCTGTGGACTGTAGTTATACCTACCCCGGCGGCCTGCTGCCCCGGACGGTATGTGGTGTATCTTTTTATAAAATATCCTGTGTGTGGCGTGCCGAGGCACCATACATGTGGCTCGATATCACCCGGTGAGGTGCTGGAGGAATTCGACGAAACCTGGTTTAAAGTTGGTTACTAAAAAAGACACGCTAAGTGTTCGTAACACAGAGGACATTGAGCGGAGTTGGTGCAATCTTCTGTCCCAACACCTTTATTTAAAGCATTAAAAGCAAGAGTTAAAGAGTTAAAAGCATATTCCTAAATGGTTTTAACAACGACTGATGTTGCTAGTCAGTCATAGAGTCCACTTGTCCGGTTCGCTGAATAGTAACTTTTGCCTTTCACGAAAGATATTTTGTTCCTATCTTTTCGCAAAATGTATCTTTAAGGCCTCTTTAGAAATAAACTGGATAAACAAACATTTTAGAAGACCATCCCCAGTAATCGTTTCAACTTTTCTTTTGAAATTTCCAGTGCTTCAGTCATGTGAAGTGCTTAAAAAACAAGCATGCTCGCAGCATAGTTTGTGATTAATGAATTGTTTTAGACTGAAGTTCATCTTGCTATTATTTCGGTAATTATGAATCACTTTCTTGGGGCCATCATCCAGCAAGACTATGTCCATTTCACCTCCCAGGCGACACCTGAGGATGCATTTTTGAAGCGTCTCAAATCCACTCAACTGCCGAACGGCCGTGGGCAGGTGTTGCTGCCGGGCACATAGGGCGCGTGGCTCGTGCGCGGCACGTGTGACACGTGGTGCGGCATCTCTGCACGCCACCAGACGACCCATTATGCATTAACATCCACCGGCGTCCCGTTAAGATTGCACGAGGCCCGGACGCACCGCGCCATGAAACCAGGGGAACGGCGCCAGACATGGGCAGTCAAAACTGCACCCGGCGAGCATCGCAAGCGGGCGCGGCACTGGAAAATGCAGTGGTATGGGTCTGCAAGCGAAACACTTATATTCACTCACCAGTCAGCATGGCTCGAAGACCAATCTCGTCTTGAGAGAAGGGTGAAAGAAACTATATTGAAATCAACTTAGTTTATCGTTGATTTGAAAACAATCGTTTAATCATTCAAACAAAATGCAAATTTTATAGTTATGAACTGAGCCAATTAAAATAAAACATGTAAAGCACTTACAGGTTTACCTCATATAATAAAGCGTTCCTTTATGGCAAAACTTCGCACGCACTTTGCTTACTTTGATACAACTGCGCGAGTCCATTCTTATCCGCCTGCCTAATAAGTCAGTCTAATCGTCTAATCTCTGACCAATTCGGTGAATAACGGCCACTTAGTGCCCTGGACTGCTGCGAGCACGATAGTTAGATATCGAGGCTCGCATCGAAGTGCCCATCTATACTGCAGCACTGAATCATGAGCGATCGGCCTATTTCGAGCATAAGTTGCAGAACAAATGAGGCTTATACTACACACACGTAAATATAATTGTCTTTGGAGCAACTATGCAGTAGCTAGTTTGCTTGAATAAAGTAACAAAAATTGTCATTTATTATGACAATTTGCAGTTATCAAATTAGTTTAATTAATGATAACTATCATCTCAAATGCATTTATCTTCTTGCATTTATCAAAAGCACGTTATCCACACCGAACAAGTTAGTGCAGTTAGCACTGGCGACGGCAGCTTCATATAGGCTTCATTTGCGCAGCATCATTCGTAGGATCATTCATTCATATGATCATTCATTCGTAGGGTCATTCACATGGCTTGGTGACTAGAACTGACTCAATCGAAATATTTTGAATCGCCAGTTTTGGCATTAAGTTTGACTCATTGAAGGCGGACCAAGGGTTACAAGACTTTTATGTTGGGCTCTAAAATACAAGAAAGCACCTAGATGTAACGAGAAAAGTACAAGCCTGCACTAGCATTGAGCCCAAATAAGATTCATTAATCCTTAAAATTATCAAACACAGCCTGGAACGGTAACGTTTTCATTGAGCCCTTGTTATGCGGCTTTCAGGTGCTGAATTTTGTAGTTAAGCTTCTTAGACCAATAAGCTCCACGCCCTGCTTCAATACCCAGCAAGCCAGGATATCATACCTGCGGGGCTGAAGTTGAGCCTCTTTAGCCCGAGCTTTGCATCATTAATTAAACTATGCGAGTTGCTATCCATTTGCATGCACGCATTTTTCCTCCATCGCATGGTGGCAGTGTCGGTATAAAAACGTAGCTCCTTGCATGAATAGAGTAATTTGGGTATCCCAGGCGGCTGCTGTCGGTGCTAAGGCATGTGTAGGTATTGTGTAATCGGTAGATAGAGCTCCTCTCTGACAAACTGTATCCGACTGTGCAATGGCTGGAAGAGATGCCACGGACCTCTCTGCGATGGACCTATCTGTGCTTTGTTGTACAGTGCTTGACCTGCTCGCTGTAGCGTGGTTCGCGTGATCCAAGCTCCCTCCTCTGCCCATCTTCTAAGCCCCTCATCGTGCCGACGTCGAGCTTACCGAGGCTGGCTCGCTCCTGATGCGCCGGGTCCGACGGCTCAGTCGTTTAATTTTGTTTTATATAAACTTGCATTTTGGCGTGTGTCTGAACATAGGTGTCGTGAAGGGTACCTAGGTGTATACAACTAGATACGAGAGAGTGTGGCTCAATCAGCAAAAAAAAAGCTAGATATGATATTTTACACAGAATGCCACAGCACGATGTGTTATCATGAAGAAGAAAATGGCGATATTAAATCCTCAGATTTAGCTGACCGGATCTTTTTGTTTTCAACTAACGAACAGCGCTGTCTCTTTTTGACTCAGTGGGCGAGAACAGAGCACTGACGTCTTCCTTATCTCGGGCCAACGTTACCACAATGAGAATGGGAAAGCTGGGTCGCGGGATGGTGCGTGTGACCTTACTATCATACAAAACGCTGCTCTCTTGAACCCGGATACGTTAGGGTCAGGCTTGATAAATTCTATGTTTTCAAATATTGCGATTAATTCTCCCAGAAACCGTTAATCATGTTGCCAGGCAGCCAGCTTCTCTTCAGTTCTGTTACTTTGACATTTTTGCAAATTTTGTAGTCATGCATACTGCATGTGTATAGTATTTACGAAAGCGACTATTCATCTGCAATCTACATTTGACCCAGACAAACCGGCCCTGATTCAGTGACCCGTAATGTTCACGGATCATCACCAGATCGGACATTTCGGGTCTCAATATTCAGCAGCGCCTCAGTATTCACAATTCTCCCCTCTGGTGGGCGGCCCATTAGTATCGGTGAGGCGGCCGTCGGCGCCGACAAATGTGCCGGCACCGGCGGGTGTCGGTCCCGGCAGCGGAAATGGCCGGCCAAAGAAGCCGCGGCGCGACGGCGACTCGCGGTAGCGGCCGTCTCGGTTCATCACCATCCACCGCGCCGATCGATAGGGTCTCTACAGGCGCCGACCGGCGGTCACGGCCAAAGGAGGGGTCACAATTGGAGAGAGGGGTCACATGGCCACGGTAAAATGGTTACCGAGGGGAGGAATACCGCCTGGGTCAGAAAAGATCCACGTGGGTGGAAGGATGATCACCTGAAATCGATGCGGGTAGAGAAGACACTGGACTGACGATAACTTACATACAATACATTACCTGAAGCATAAACACAATCGGGCAGACAGACAGACAGGCAGAGAGACATGCAGACGGAAAGATAGACAGACAGAGGCAGACATATGTGGATTTCGATTGATAATTCGAATGATGGGTGTGCAGAGAAGGAATCAACCGACAGTGGAAAGAACAGAAAACATATCCAGGAGGATGGTTAACCCGCGACCCGTTAAAGGGGGGGGGGGGGGCAAAAGGCCCTCCCCCTACGGTTTTTCGCAGATAGCTCAGAAACGGCTGCGAATTTCGACTTGAAACTTTCAGTATCTCTCTGGACATCAATTTTACACAACTGAAAAAATTAGGTCGTAGGTCATCTCAGGTCACGAGCTATAGTGGTCAAACTGAGGTCATATTCGGCGATTTTTCGTCGACAAAGTTATTGACGAAGAAAAATCGCAGAAAATCAGGGTTTCAACTTAGCGACTCAAAAATTGGACCGTAGGTATAAAAAGCGTTGCAAACAAAATGGTTATCTTGAAATTTCCAAAATATAAAAATCCCTAGATCTAGGGATTTTCTAACTCAAAATTTAGCTTTAATGAGATATTTTTGAAATTTTGGATTTTCTTTTTTCAAAAAACCGGAATATATGTTAGAGAACCCTTACTGGCCTTACACATCCCAAAAATTAACAAAATATCTCTAAAACTGTCTGAGATATAGCCATTTGAATGACTGAAAAGGTAGTTAGGTTCTTATGACGTCACAATATTTTTGGTATTTGCGCTAGAAATCAGTTAGGAGTACCTAATATTTATGATTCTTATCAACCTCTTGCTGACTGAATATGATCCTTTACGTGAGTAAAGTCACTTGTACGTAAAAAAATGTTTTTTTATTGTAAACCGGTACAATTTGACCTTTCTGTGGCGTCATAGGTCCAAGAAAATGGTCAAGAAGGTTTCTGTGGTTGCATATATTTGACATGTCTTCATAAGGACTCGAATATTCACAATTTAACATGTTTTTCATATGGACGGACGGACGGACCCGGATTTTCGCCGCTATCCACTGATTGTGAGAGCCGGCCTACCGCACCGCTCCCGGCATCTCTATATCCACCCCCAGTACCAACAGCGGCCATTATTTATCGCCAATCAGCTAACTTTACGGGTGCATCCGAGTTCCGGGTGTCTGCGAGCGATGAGGAAATTCGCCGGCAGAGCGGTGCTTCATAGCCGGCATTGCTGATTGGAATGTCGGCTCTACATCCTCGTCTAGTAGTATTGGCTCGGTCGCACGGAACTGCAGAGGGGCTTGACTGCATATTGGATGTGAAAATGGCATCGCTTGTGAACTTAAACAGTGTACGCTAACACAATGTACGTACCTTTAGTGTGCGCAAAATTATGTCGTACCTAATTCATTAGAATTAGAAAACCAACTACACACGGTAAGTGAAAATGGGCTCTACCCGCTATAATCGGCATTGGTGACGATAGATATCACGTAAAAAGGTTAATTTTGGAGCTCCGTACTGTAAGGCACCCCCTCCCCCCAACCCCTCCCTGCCACACAACTCCTAAAGTAAAGTAAGGAGGTGGCTCTGCCGCGCTCCGTGTACCCCGAAATACGTATACCTACCTACCTGTGTAAAACAAGTGTGGGTACTATTCACATCATTGCCCAGTTTTGTCCACCATCAACGGAGCACCTATAAATGACTAATTATGTTTTAGGTACCTACCTTGGGTTTGCATTTTGAATTTGTGGTCAAATTAAAAACAAAATATTATCAACAATATTTCTCAGTATAAAATTTATGCAGGCGGCTCGCTCGCCCTTCCATTGGCTGACATGTTACAAATGTTTTGCTGCTGCAGCAGCGGCACAACACGTGCCCGGAACACGACAGCGTCCTCCTGCAGACGCTGACTGTCGCCGCCGTCCGCCGGACCGCTCGGGTATCTACTGACCGTCATTTGTTTGCTGCCGTGACGCGCTATGTTTAATGTCGGCACATCACACCAAAATATTATCGCCATAAATTCGTCGCGGAAACGCTTCTGTCGGGAAGTGTCTCCCGGGCGTCTCTATGCAAGTTTACATTGAAGTATCTTCCGTCTGCCTGATGCTTGATGTAAGCAACTTGACTGGTGAAAGCATGAATGAGGAAAATTTTCTTCACCTTCGAGGTGGCACTTAGTAAAAAAGTCAATTAAAGGCAGGCGACAAATGTTTCCTGTGATAGCTTAAATCCTTTCATTAAGAGTCGAGAAAAATAAGATTTTGAACAAGCGAACGTTCATAGTGAACAAACATGCATGAAAAAATAAAAACGGGTGCGATATGCCCCCCCCCCCCAAAACTACTTAGTACCTTCTTATCACTTTAACATGAGCACTGGGCAGGATAAACATAGGTCAAAAGAGACGACTCGAATCCTGTATAAAAAGCAGCGTACATGCAACGCTTGTCCCCTTCCACTCAAGTATACTGCATGTGAGTTGCGAAGAAACGGAACAAAACGAAAATGCTGCAACAGTTATCCATCTGGCAGGGAGTAAACTTAACCGAAACGGTCGCCATAGATACTACATAACTGGTATTAGAAATGACCTATCGTTTTTTTTTTCGTTTTTTTTTTTCTATCGTTGTTCACTGACCGTGATTCTACTAAAGCAGGCAAGACATTGAAAAAACTTCTAAAGGTAGTGTGCCACCTTTGAAAGATTTCCCGTTTTATTTTTCCTAGGATAAGAAGCTTCTGTTTTTACCTAATATCGCAAAAAAAATCAAAAATGGGCCTGGAATAGTGCCTTTTTCGCCTAAAAGTTTATCGGTTTTTAGATATGTATAACAACTGTAGTGGGCTCACCTGCAAACAGGCGTCGGGCAACAATCGCGAATGCGGCGCACTTGTGACAATAAGCAAAGGTCATTATAGTGTTACGACCATACGACGTACGGGAATGAGTTATCAGCTGTCTAATCGTAGACAACACAATGTCGAGCCTTAAACTGTAAGCCCGTATTGGTATTGTTTCTTTTATTTGGCTGTCGAACATTATTTATGGTTTGAAATATGATTTTATGTAAAATAATTGATATGAAACAGCCGTCTCTTAAGTTATGACCCCATTACACCACACGCAAGTGGCAGAAATGACAATGATCAGCTGACGCATTTTTCTTGGCCGAAGTCAGAGCGCGCGGCCCGACGCACCACGCGTATTTGGAAATTCCGACCTCGACGAGCATCAGAAGCCACCTAACAGGCGTGTTCGAAACCGCAGGAGATGATGATGAACGGGTTTATCGAAACTTGATTGGATGAGCCTATCGGTAATAGCGATTTTAGTGTGTGCATTTATTGTTCATAGTGGTGTGAAATGTGGTTGGGGTACGACCGACAACCCGTCGGGGCGAATTTCGCACTGGGGTACTCAAAATTTGAAGAATTTAAGACGTTTCCATAAGTTTTGAAGGTATGGATAAGTTCTAAAAATCCGGTTCTCCTTATCCGGGTCATTAACTCCATATGGTCCAGGAAAGCTGGCACACTACCTTTAAGTGCAAGTCATGGGCAACCAAAGTACGATCTGTCGAATACTGTGCTTATGTCACACAGTACAACAAATAGAAGCGAATAGGTTCCTTACGCTTGAGGCGCAGCCTCAAACCATTACAGGTGCAGCCTCAAACGAGGTGAACATTCTCAACTGACTTGCATCAAATTTATACGCCAGATCGTAATATATGTATTATTCGTGATTCGTGACACTTTTACAAGAAACAAGTGCACCAACTCGCGCTACACATTTTCTTTATCACCTGATCGCCTTATTCCTTATTTCCTTATTCCTTAAACGCCAGTTCTTGCATTTTTGGCAAAGTAGCATTTGTGGGTGTAAATGATTCGTAATTGATAAAGCTACATTATTTACCAAAATTGCATGTTAAAAAATCCTAGAAGTAATTTCCAAAACATGTAGGTAGGTATTTGAGTATGTCTGATCAAGGATGAAATTAAGAATTTATACGACCGTGACATGACTACGACCATGACTTCTTGATCAATTGGACTGACTGTATACCTAGGACATAAAGCAAATAAAACTGGATACGTTCTACACGAGTCACGACGCATCTATAACTTTACAAACAGGTTGTTAGGTTCGACCTAGCTGATTTGAGCGAAATACTGAAACAAAAGGTAGCTTTTCATACCAAAAAATGTTCTTGAGAGCTTCTGATCATATGCCAATATGTCGCTACCATTGTATTGTGAATGTGGGCCGTTTGTATAATGTGCAATGTGCATAACACCGTGGAAAATAAAAATTATGTACTCTAGTTGTAAAACAACGACGTCAACGCAATGCTCAAACGGAATGTCTAATATTATGCAACGAATTATGCTTATATTGTGTCCGTGACGGGTTGAAAATAGACTAAAGCTTGCGGTTGCAAACGAGCGTTTCACCATTAGCAAAATGCTCCTCGGTTTTATCGTTGCTGCGGGATTCCAGCACACCGTTCAGACCGCACATGCCAGGTGCCGTGCCATTGTCACAACATTGAGCCTTTTCACACCACTCTGAAAAGGGCACGGAGACAGTGCTGCCGGGCACGGTATGAAACTTGTGGAGTTCGTGCATAGCTTATTTTAATTAATCCCAAACGCAATGGGAGAAATAAGCAGGTGCCTTCACACTGATGATTAGCATCTCTGCTTTACGAGATGCTACGAGTGAGAATGTTGCCCAGTTTCTTTGTCCTAGGTCAGCCAAGGGCCTTTGTAGTCAAGTCAGAGACAATGAGGTCGAATCCAAGATCACTTTACCACTAATTGGATCAGGGCATTCGATAAATAATCTCGTTGGTCGCTGATAGTGGTTATAGAGGTGTGATAGCGATTTGACACCATTACATCGTGTTCGACATGCTCCGCTGCGTCGAATGGTGCAGTTTTTGCTTGGGAAAGGTGTCTAGGGTGTTGACCTCTGGAAAAGGTTGTCCCTGCGTAAGACACCCGGGCAATTAGGGCGGTGCAAAATTATGATATTTTTAACTTTGCATACTGCATAGGTAGATATACTAATGAAATCACAGGTCCATGCCTACTCGACCTGACTTGAGCTAAAAGTGCAGTTGTTGTTAACAAATCCATATAAAATTAAATGTCAGGTATGCGCATTTTCAGTGTTTCATCTCTATACTTAAATGTGTTCTTAGCGATCTTTAGAGAGAAAAAAGACTTGTGGGATAGCACCGATCTTTCTTGGGTCGAGAGTTTTGCGTGAACATATTTCATCAAAAATAAAAAGTGGCATTTTAAGTGGCATAAAAAGTGGGGTTAACCCCCAGTGCATGCTGTTTATCGACAGGGTATGACAGTGGTTAAAAACGTTACTCATTTTTAATTAGGGCATTGGCATCAAACTCAAACCCTTACATGAACATACTTCGCTATCGTTTTAGGGCCTTGACTTATCCACAAACATTTTTTCCGCCGACGGTGGCGAATGGGCATGCTCAACACATACAGTGGTAATGGTATCTGCTTGTGCCCTTAAATCACGCAATTTCACATACGTATCGTTAGCATTAGCTGGTGTTGTTAGCTGTTGTTGTCATTAGCAGGTGTAACAGTAGACCGTATTATAAGTAGGCTACATAGGTACCTACCTTCCTACATTGGCAAGGTGCCTAATTTTGCAACACACTATACCTACTTGCCATTTGCACCTTTGAGCTTACTCATGCGCTTGTACCGCATTGTTAACTCATAAAGAAGTGTCACTTTATGTGTGTCCTGCCACAGCATCTCTAAATAAAGCTAGTTGCGCTAATTTGTCTTACCGAACAATGCAGATTGTGACCACACCAGAAGAAGAGTGGCCACCACAGGCCATTGAGACCACGGCCAGCGGCACACCATCGTCTGGTGACCTGTGACCTCGCGTCAGGTCAGGTCCCCAACGTAATCCTCCAGCATCCAACCGGCTCAGGTCAGGTCATGTCGGGCACACAGTCAGTGCACATGACCACCGGAACAGCAGAAAGGTGTTTGGGGTGATCCTCTAATCCAGATCCACTTCCCTCAGGCTTTGGTCTCTTTCATTGGCCTCGCTGACATCGCAAAATGATAGTCTCAGTTCCTGTACAGCCGCACCGCGAGCAATCTCGGAGCTAAAAACGCACGCCCACTGCCGTAGGAGCTTCAGGGCTGTCGGCGCCTGTCGGGGCGGTTACACCAGAGCGGCCCGCACAGGCACGGCCGCGCCCGTCGCCGAGGTCCGACTGATCGCACCGAGCGAGCGGCCACGGCGACGGGCCGGTCCTGGGCGCCTCGAGGAGCTGGCCAACTGTGGCGCCACCTGTTCCCGCCTCCAGCGGCCTCTGGCTCTGCCACATCCAACCCATATGCAACCGATGCACCACTCATGGCGCTACTTGCTGTACAGTGTACATACATATTACATGTGGCATGCATGCCTCGTGATCTAGGGGTCTCGGGTTCGCAGCCGGTCGTCCACAGAAACTATTGGCCCGTTGTAGGTTTGTAGGTTAGGTTTGGTTTGGACTGGTTTGGTTGGAAAAGAGCATCTCCGGGTATAGCGCCTTTCCTTGGTTGCAAAAACGGAACACGCCCGGCGAGGCAATCACGTGAACCCCAGTCGGACACGATTTGGTAGCCGAGTCATCTGAGGAAAAACTAAACTGGCTTCAAGTTTTTCATACACCTATGCATAAACTAAACTGACCAAAGTTTGAGCCAGGATTGAGGATATGAGATATCCGATA